GACTGATGCACGTGGTCCGCAATAAGAGAATCTCCCACATGTGTGGACACATAAACAAGAGAACTCAAAGAATCACAAGATACTCCCAAATACGGGGCAAAATAAGAGGACATATAGGAATAAGTGGAGCCTGGATCAAATAAAACCCACGAATCTTCTATGACAGACTGGGACAATACTTGTAATGATAGAGTCGGAAGAAACTGCCTTTATACGAGCATGAAGGGCATATTATCTAGTCTGGCTTCCCCCTCTAGGGTGACCTCCATCTCCCCGACCTCCACCTCGAGTTGAATGAGCTGGTGGGGTGGTAGTTGGTGCTATAATCATAGCTTGAGGACCCGATGGAGCACGTTGTGGCTGAGAAGTCTGTGGAGGTGTACCCCTCCTAAGTATGGGACAATCCCTCACAATATGGCGAGTGTCGCCACACTCAAAACAAGCTCTCGGAGGGTGTGGCTAATGTAACTGGCTTGGCCCAGGTCTGCTAGAGTGGCCGCTGAAAGCACCCATACAGGAGGTACACTAGACATTGGCAGTGCATAATAAGGCTCCTGAGGCCTATAAGTGGCCAGAGTACCACTAGCTACTTGAACTGCTGAGTGAACAGGGTGACCCACATAGCCCCTACCATGACGAACTGTAGCTGGGGCATGAGTACCACTATAAGTGCCAGACTCTCGAGACCTCTTGGTCTCTCTATCCTCTCTATCTCAAGAAAGCATACCCTCCAATCTCCTAGGAATACTCACAACCTACTGGTAAGAAATATCCATCTCCAACTCCCGGGCCATGCTAATCCTGATATCGGGGTGGAGTCCCTCAATAAACCGACAAACCCTCTCTCGAACTGTGGAAACCAAGGCTGGTGCATGTCAGGCCAAATCACTAAAGCGAACTGCATACTCTGACACAGTCATAGTACCCTGGCGCAACTGCTCAAACTCCGCGCGCCATGCGTCCCTGAGACTCTGAGGAACATTCTCCCTCAAGAACATGTCCGAGAACTAAGTCCATATAAGTGAAGATGCCTCAACCGGAATACTCAAATCATAAGCATGCCACCATTGATAGGCTGCTCCTCTAAGTTGGAATGTAGTAAAAGAAACCCCACTCGACTCCGCTACACCCATAGTGCGGAGAAGGTGGTGACACTCCACCAGAAATCCCTGAGCATTATCTGTCGCCAATTTACTGAAGGTAAGAGGGTGTTACTTATTGTACCTCTCTAGTCTGAGCTGCTCCTCCTCAGAAGCTGTTGCACTAGTCTCGTGCTGAGTTGGAGCTACCAGCTATATCGGTATAATCTCTCGAACCTGGTCGACCTGAGTCCACTGCTCTAGAGAACGGGCGGCGGGAGTTTGTGCTCCTCCCCCAGCCTGAGATGTGGCAGGAGAAAGTGGAATCAATCCAGCCTAAGCTAAGGTGCTGAACATGCTCAGAAACTAGGGTAGAGTCTCTTAGAGGGCTATTGCAGCAACAGGTACCTCAGGTGTTTGTCCTCCAGCTAGAGCTACTAGGGGCTCCTTTGCAGCAGCTCGTGCGGGTTGTCTGGCTACACCACGTGGACGTCCTCGACCTCTACCACGGGAGCGGGTTTCTGTTCATCAGATCTGCATGTACGTGTCCTCACTATCTGTGCGAGAATAGAATACAAAAGTTTAGAATTTTGTAGTCAACAATTTTCACACGATAAGGAATCAAAGAAGTGTAATTTTTCTAACACTTCCATAGCCTCCCGAATATAAGTAGAGAAGTCTCCGTACCGATCCGCGAGACTCTAAAAAATTAGCTTGTGAATCACGACACCTATGAACCTAGGGCTCTAATATCAATTTGTCACGACCCAATTCCCCCCTCCCCCTGTAAGGCGTCGTGATGACACCTAGTCTTTACGACTAGGTAAGCCTAAACAATTGCGGAAATAACAGAAATAGAAGTAAAAAATCAACAACTAACTGCAACATATGATAACATACATGTTAACCATGCCACTCGGCATGTACAATAACCCAGTCCTCAATAATACACGGTTTTCCAAAAATCAGAACATCGTAAGTCACAAACTACAAAAGGAAACTAGTATCTCTATACACCATAGTCTAACAAAAAGGAAGTACAGAAGGTAATCAACATAGGGGAGAATAAAGAGGGACTCCGAGATTTGCGGACGCGGAAGATATACCTTGAAGTCTTCAACTGTCATTGCTCACTAATGGCATGGCGGATAATGAGCACCTGGATCTGCACACAAAACATGTGCAGAAGAGTAGCATGAGTACACCACAACGGTACCCAGTAAGTGTCAAGCCTAACTTCGGTCGAGTAGTGACGAGGTCAGGCCAGATCCACTGATTATAATAAATAAAGCAAGAAATTGTACAATAATAAAAGACTAGAATTTAAGCAAAGGAAAACACAGAAAAATAGCGATACAATACACAGGGATAAACAACAGGTAATCTCCCGAGATACCGTCTCGTAGTCCTAAATATAAATATATATGGAGAACTCCCGAGGAACCGCCTCGTAGTCTCAAAGGTAAATGTGCAGGGAGAACTCCCGAGGAATCGCCTCGTAGTCTCAAAAGTAAACACACAACTCAAGCGATAAATACAACAGTTAATGTCACACCTCCTTTTTACCCTTACAAAATATATGTTATGGATTGTTGTGGGTTAAAAATATTTTTCAATTAAAGTAAAAAAAAAAAGTATATGGATTATTTTATTTACATAGTCTCTACTTGGAATTGAGTTTTGGTGTTCCATGTCACCTTATTAAATTTCTAATCAAAGGGAAATTGACTCTACTTATTATTGGTCTACGAAAATAAAGTCTGGGTAAGGAATTTTGTTGACCGGGGAGAACGTGTAAGGCATTCCCCGAGTCCTGTGGTTCTAGCACGGTCACTTTATTGACTAAAAATGGCTTGAATTAATTTTGAACAAACTGAGTTTTATTGGATTTCTGTGGTTTACATATCCGCTTTTAGTTATGGCGTTTTATGGATTTATCTTTGAAACAGATCGCATGTGTGTATATCCGTTGAGAGCATAAGAGAGTTGATAGAGTTTGAGATAATTTGGTTTGAGCTAATTAGGCGGTTTTGGAATGGAAACGATGGGGTTTCTTACTTTCGGAGAAGAGACAAAGTGATTTCAATTGTTTAAGTATTTTAGAACAGCTTTAGGAATTAGGACTAGTCTAGTTCTATTTTAGGACTAGGTTTTGGTTTGGGCTCAGTTATTTTTTTATGGGCCAGACAAAAATAAACATTTACATGGGCTATAAACCCAACGTAAAATATTATGCTAAATACAGAAATTATAAAAAAAATAAGAAATATTTATAACTTACATTCTAATAAATATTTTTATCTATCTAATATATAAAATATGTATACATGTAATGTCGGGTTGGTTTGGTTTCGGTTTGACTTTTTTTAGTTAATACCAAACCAACCCTATTATGGTCGGGTTTTATTTTTCAATACCAAATCAAGTCAAACCAAACCACTAGTCGGATTTTTTTTCGGGTTGATTCAAATTTTCGGATTGGTACGGATTATCGATTTAGTTTGTACACCCCTACTCAACATCTTCCTTGGCCAGTGCCATGGGCTACACCCATCTAGTCTTGGAATAAGGGAGAGTATGAGTTTCGGTTGATGGAAACAAAAGTAAGAAGAAAATTGGAAACGAAAGGGCTGGATTCTTTGGCCAATTCTTTTGCTAAAATGTGGGACCCAAAATCACTTGACAAAAATGTTCATACTAAAAGTTTTCAAATTGTTAGATGAGGATTGATTCTCAGAGTAAGCATATAGATTTTAATTGTTTCACGTCAATCAAAGTACTCTCACTTTTAAATATTCGAAAAACATTGGGCACAACCTATCATTTCTCACTTTATTCTCCTAACTCTTACTATAACTTTATTCGTAATTTCTTTTTACTCTCTTAATGTTTTCACTATTCAAAAATATGTTAAACCGTAAGAAAATATATTCTTTTTTTTTAACATTTTCAGTATGAAAACAGAGATGCTTAAAGAGAAAAGGAAAAAGATTGAAAAAGAGAAAAAATAAAAATATTACTCTTGTCCTTTTCTCTTTCTATGATAGCCAACTATACAAGGCAAAACAAACTTCGTAATAGTAATGAATGATCAGATATAGTCTATAGAAGACACAGTGTCTTACTATGTTGCTCAGGCTTTTCAAAAATATCGTTGGATACATGTCGGATCCTCCAAAAGTAGTGGATTAATTTTTGGAGGATCCAATGTGGGTAAAATAATGTTTTGGAGCGTCCCCGCAACATAAATTCTCCCTATAACACACAATTAGTATAACGTACTTCTTTATATTATCTAAAAATTAATACGTAAAATAATATTTTCTGTAAAGATTATTTCAAGATAAAGTAATATTTGTTTAAGACACCTAAGGTTATTTAATCCTTATCTGCATAAAAGCTCATACTAGAACTGCTAATGTGCTTCTTCTATTCTCAAGCTCGAATACTTTCTAAAATATGATATTAAGGAATTCCAAGATTTAGCTGTCTCTTTCAATTGATTTTGTCAAATTATTCTGAAATTCTGTCATTAATAACACTTAGCTACAACATACTATGGATAAATTGTTTAAAGATAGTGACTAAACAATTAGTATTTAAAGCCACCATTAATTATTTTCCTACCATTATTTACATCTTCAAAAGGAATATTGCATGAAAATCATTTACAACCTCATAGAAACTTGAACTTGGAAAAATGATAAGTAAAGGAACATTTCAAGCATGTATAGCGTAGAGTATCTCATAGGAATTTCAGAAATAATTTAACAGTGATTTAAATTTCCACAATTTCTATAACATTTTTCATGATATGAGCAAAAGGCACACTACAGCACTTTATATCATTTCAGTGCCCCACCATATCCCTTTCTTGCCTCAATTATGAAGTCATGCTTTTTGAAAATAAATAAGAAGCACAAGTTATTACTTTTGCTAAATCATATACTCTGAGCATTCTTGTTTGCATATTAATTACTCTTAGCATTCAACAGGTAAAACTAAGACTATTTTAAGATAGAATTACTAATCTTCTACAAATTCTTGATCATTTTGTGTTTTTCTTGTTTTTCTCTGCATCTTTCAGAAATGGAGATTGGCTTAGCAGTTGGTGGTGCATTTCTATCTTCAGCTTTGAATGTTCTCTTTGATAGGCTTGCTCCTAAGGGTGAGCTGCTCAAGATGTTTCAGAGGCAAAAGCATGATTTTCAACTCTTAGAGAAGCTAAGGAGGACTTTGTCTGGTTTTCGGGTTGTGCTAAGTGATGCAGAGAATAAGCAGGCATCAAATCCAAACGTGAGTCAGTGGCTTAATGAACTTCGGGATGCTGTGGACAGTGCTGAAAACTTAATGGAAGAAATCAATTATGAAGTTCTGAGAGTTAAGGTGGAAGGTCAGCATCAAAATCATGCAGAAGCAAGCAACCAGCAGGTAAGTGACCTCAACTTGTGCTTGAGTGATGAATCTTTTCTTAATATAAAGGACAAGTTGGAAGGCACAACTAAAACATTGGAGGAGTTGCAAAAGCAAATTGCTTGTCTTGGCCTAAAGGACTATTTTTTTCCCGGTAAACAAGAAACTAGAGTACCTACAACATGTTTGGTTGATGAATCTGATATCTTTGGTAGGCAGACTGAAATAGAGACATTGGTTCACCGTTTATTGTCTGTTGATGCCGATGGAAAAACATATGGTGTAATTCCTATTGTTGGAATGGCGGGGGTTGGCAAGACAACACTTGCTAAAACTGTGTACCATAACGACAAGTTGAAACATCATTTTGATTTGAAAGCTTGGTTCTGTGTGTCTGAACCATATGATGCTTCTAGAATAACAAAAGGATTACTTCAAGAAATTGGTTCATCCAACTTAACGGTTGATAACAATTTTAATCAGCTTCAAATCAAATTGAAGGAAAGCATAAAAGGAAAAAAGTTTCTTTTTGTTTTAGATGATATTTGGAATGACAACTACATTGAGTGGGATGACTTGAGAATTCCTTTTGCACAAGGAGAAATTGGAAGTAAGATCATTGTGACGACACGTAAGGAGAGTGTTGCCGAGATGATGGTTAGTCGGCCAATTATCATGGACATTCTTTCTAGCGAATTCTCTTGGCCTTTATTCAAAAGACATGCATTTGAAAACAGAGATCCCAAGGAACATCCAGAACTTGAAGAGGTAGGAAAACAAATTGCAAAAAAGTGCAAAGGCTTGCCTTTAGCACTAAAGACACTTGCTGGTTTGTTACGGTCCAAATCAAAGATTGAAGAGTGGAGACGCATTTTGACAAGTGAAATATGGGAGCTGCCAGACAAAAGCATATTACCAGCGTTGATGTTGAGCTACAATGATCTTCCCGTGCATTTGAAGCAATGCTTTTCCTACTGTGCAATATTTCCGAAAGATTATCCATTTCGGAAAAAACAAGTCATTCAATTGTGGACTGCTAATGGTCTAGTGCAAGGGTTGCAAAAAAATGAAACAATTGAAGATATAGGCAACCTATTCTTTCTCGAGTTGCAATCAAGATCACTTTTCGAAAGGGTCCCAAATTCTTCTAAAAATAATGCAGAGGAATTCTTAATGCATGACCTTGTTAATGATTTGGCCCAAGTTGCATCTTCAAAACTTTGTGTTAGGTTGGAAGAGTACCAAGAGTCTCATATGTTGAAACAAAGTCGGCATGTGTCCTATTCAATGGGCTATGGTGACTCTGAAAAGTTGAAACCTCTCTACAAATTGGAGCAGCTCAGGACATTGCTTCCAATCAACAGTATCGAACTCTATGGTCCAACTCTAAGTAAGAGGGTGTTGCATAATATATTGCCAAGACTAACATCCTTAAGGGCACTATCATTGTCTCGTTATCATATCAACGAGTTACCGAATGTCTTGTTTATTGAATTAAAGCTCCTAAGATTTTTGGATCTTTCTTGGACAAAAATAGAGCAGTTACCAGATTCCATTTGTGTACTCTATAACTTAGAGACACTTCTCTTATCATCTTGTGAATTCCTTGAGGAGTTACCGCAGCAGATGGAAAAGTTGATAAACTTGCGTCACCTTGATATTAGCGACACTCCTCGCTTGAAGACGCTGCTACATCCGAGCAAGTTGAAAA